TTCTCTTATCGAAATAATTAAATGGATTGATGTAATTAACAATAATTACAACTGAATAAACAATTGAATTCTCTAGAATAAATACAGCGTATGCTACGGTCGCACACCAAAGGTTGTTTTTACATACATTTTATGCTGTATTTTGTATGACGGTGTTTCGCTTTGAAATGCAACCTTTTCATACGCTGTTTTTATTCTATAGCAATCAATTATTGCCGTCAATTTTGTTTTCGCCTCAACTATATTTTAAAAAAAATAAAGTTTATTCCTCATTTGTCCTCATTGTATTGTCATTAAAAAATTTAATAATACTAACCAGATGGTAAGTAAGATTCCAATTTGATCACGCTTAAATGAATGGAATGCTATTTATAATAGAACATAACGATTTTTTATAAAATAATCTTCCAAAAATGCCCTATATAAAGACCTATGTGTAAATGTAAGTTCATTGGAGAGTTATAGCCAGTACAGTTGTTTTGTCATCTTCGAAATTACTTTCTGCGCAAAATTAAGTGAAAATGTTAAATACAAAAGTTATCATTTTGGCACTCGCTGGTGTTTTTGCATTGAAATTTGTTGACGCAGACTCGGGAATCAAGTATGTTAAGGCTAAAGATACAAGTAAGAACGAATCTGTACAACTTTTAAATTCTTAAATTGAGCGAAATGATATTTCCAATAAACTTTACCCCTTTTAGTTTTTTTTAAAAAGAATTTGTCATTTTCAGTTGAAATGTATGGACATTTGGGTTCTCTTGGTCTTAGACTATTGACGATTGATGACCTTCTACCTATAAAATCGCTAATGAATGTTACTCTAAGTGAAGATCCTTTGTTTGTCGGAACGGGCATGTACTCCTTTATGTTTATCTAACACATTATTTAATTCCATATGGACATATGTCATAATAAAAAAATATTTTAAACATATTAAAAGGTATTTCCACCGATGATGAATCTCGTGATTATTTACGGGAAAAATGGATTTCATATATAGCACAAAACAAATCATTTGTATGGGTAGAAAAGAGTAAAATGATTGGTTTGAATATTCTTTATGTAGATGATGGATCAAGGACTTCAATTCCGCACCGTGTAAGAAAAATGCCGAATTTTTCGGAGATTTTTTTTAAATTTGTTTAATTTTAGCTTCTTCCAGAATTGAGCTTGTACTACAATATATTGTCTGACCCACAATTATCTTTTAATATGACTGAAAAGTATGGAGTGGATAGATTTTTGAACAGTGCTGTTTTTTGGGTTAACAAAGATTACCGTAATCCGGAAAATCTTCAGAAAATGCTACAATTCAGAGAAGCGATTTGTGTGTTGAATGGTATTGGAGCAACATCCGCCTATTTTACAATGGTTGATGAAGGTTTTGAGGCTTATAACGTTGGATATGAGACGGATGGCCGCATGAGGTAAGAAAATGAAATAGAATTTCTAGTGAATAGATGAGGTGAGCTACAGCTATATCAGTGCTATTTTCACAGCTCCTATTCATAGGCGCTATTTACGACTTTATGATACAATTCCGAACGAAATGTTCTGTGAAAATATGAGCTGTGAAAATAGCACTGCTATAGCTGTAGCCCAATCTATTCACTGTTTCTAGTTGATCTGTACTAAATAGTTCATTTACTTTTTAGTTATACAAGTATTGCTCAAAAATATGGAGGTTTCAAAACATACAAGATTCGTGATTCGCTTTTTTTAACTCGCAAAACACTCAAATACATCATTGATTAAGATTAATCCATGGTGGCTCTGATTAATACTAAAGCAAATATAACATTGTAGAAGAAAAGATATTAAATAATAAAGTTTGCGTTGGTTTCAACTTTATTCAAAACTTTGATGAAATATTGTGATTGAAATTCAGACCGATTTTTTCAGTGTGTTCATAATATATAGAAATAGCACTAAATAGTGTCGATATCTATACTAAATATCTATTGAAAATATCAAGAGGAGAGTATGTTTTTATTCAAACATTACTCAGCCATAAGCGCTGAATAACATACTCTCTTCTCGATATATTCAATAGATATGGAATATATTGCCGCACGGCACCGTATCGCACGATCGAAGTGAGTGTAGACGGCAAAAATCACAAGTTGCCGTGCGGCAGTAGAAAGGAATGTGTGTATGCGTCAACATGTGTGCGGGGGCGAACATTGGTTAACGAGATATGACCGTTTTTGTGATTTTAATAAAGTTCAAAAAAATCGCATTTATCCCATACAAAAAACTAAAAAGTTGTTTTTCTATATGAAAACGACCATTTACAGCCAAATGATGTTAACACGAATTGTAGCTCTATTAATTCCCCACAACTTTGCTTCAGAGCATTGGTTAACGAGACATGGCCCGTGACATATGTTATAAATTTGAATAGCTTTGAATAGCTTTGAATAGCTACTTACATGGGTATTAAACTATCATATCACGTTTAGAATTTGCGACGTATAAAATTATTTTTTTGAAAAATTTACTATAGAAAAAACTATTATATCGTTTTTGGATTTTGCGACGTAATTTATTATAACAACAAATCTATGTTAAAAAAACGCCGGGTTCCGCTTTGATATAACAATCATTCTGTACGTTGTTTTTATTCTAGAGCGTTCAATTATAAATTACAGTAAATATGATTTTCTTTAATAATATTTTAGTGCGAAATCAGTTCAGTATTTATTTTAATCGATTTATCAAAAACGCTTTTTATTCTTGATGGATTCATTTTTTTTATGGATGCCAATACAAATATCTACTTTTTTCGGTTGTTTTTCTTTTCTTTCTTTTGTTTCTTTTCCTTCTTTTCTTCTTCTTTTAAAATATTATTTACCGCCATTTGGGTTGCTAATCCTTCTAATGCAGCACTAAAATTATTCAGATATTAGTTTTTGTCATGTCAGTTGATTTAGTGTACGTACATTTGTTCATCACTCATATCTGCACTGTACCACCAGAGTCACAAAATTGTACAAACATTTTATGTTGTGTTATTTAATTAGTGTACATAAATTATATGAAAGAACTTACGTTAGTGCCTGTAAGGTGTTACTGTGACAAAATTTTTACGACGTTGATTAATATTATTTAATAATTAAAAGTAATAAGTAAAGAACTAACAGGCTTGCATCATTTTGGTTTCCCAGCTGCATCATCAGCCTTTAATATGTTTGAAGATTGATCTAAATTAGTTAAATTTTTTGAAATTTTTTTAAAATTAAAATGATTATCGTACAAAGATGTCAACACGTCATCGTATCCACTTGCTTGAGTTCCACCAGAGGTTGGACATTCTTCTTTTTTTGCCTTGTTCTTTCTTTTTCTATAAAGTCAAAATTTTAACTGCAGATATTTGTTTTGTATGTATATGAAAAGTGTATCTAATTTTCGAAATGATAAATCTACTGAATCTCGACCATGGTGTTCTAAAATACAGAAAGTTCTGTAGATTCAACGATATTTAACATTTTATTTCAAGATGTTCGTTAACTTACCCTTTGTCATTGGCATAGATCGGCCTGCAAAATAAATGCAAATACTTTAATTTTCAAAATTCGAACATTTTCATTATAAAATTATAAAATAAAGGTTCCTATTATGATAAAATTCGCCAATGATGATTTTTCATCTATTACTTACAAAGTTATTACCGAGACGATTAGCGCGATCACCAGTAGATTTCGAGAAAGTAACATTTTGTTAACTGACTTTTCTCTATCTCAAATCTCCATATTTATTCGCATGTAACACAAACCATACGTTGCACTCGAAGTACGATTTTTTTTATTCTCACAAGAATTTTTTTATTAAAATTTTCCTAATACCATAATCTTACGTCAAATGAATTTGGAAATGGGATCAAATATTTTTTTTAAATTCGCATACATAGCTGGGCAGACTAAAAAATTCAGGGGGGACCAACCCCCAGGTAATTTCCTCAAAAACTCCTAACAAAATAGGAAAATTTCAGCTATAATCCAAAAACCTTAGATCTAAAAATCACGAATTTTGTAATGGGGTAACGCCAAAACTTGATGCTTCAGGGGGAATAATTCCCTCCCTGTCTGCCCAGCTATGTTCGCATATCTATTTGAACAATTTTCGGCATCAAAACACTTTCATTTGTCAACATACGTATAGGTGTTGACAGGTTATGGCAAAATTCTGTGTAATTTTATCTAGTATAAAGGGAGGGGTTTGGATCACAATTAATGACCTTAACTCCTTGTCAAATAACCCTAACAATTCGAAATATTTACTTCCGGCAAAACCTCTAGCAAAGAGGAATTTTTTATTTCACTCGGAGAAAACATGATTACGGGTGGAGAGAATTTGGTTAGAAAATCCCTAGAAAATTGTCAACCATTAAAAAAGATACAAATCAGATGTTTCCAAATAAATTGAATGACAAAATGAAAAGCAAAGCCAAACAAAAGACATAATTTTACAACGTCTAGTATATTTTCATTAAATTACTTTGGCTTTGGGTTTTGACATGATTTTTATTAGAAACTATCCATTTCATTCTCCAATTTTGCGTTTAACTTCGATCAATGCTTGCACTGTGACAAGCTGATAAAGTTTCGCCTGATAAAGATCGATTCGCCTGTTGATTACATAATTCCATTTGATACGAGTATCACTTTATGTCCACGGCTTATAAAGTAAATCGTTCAAATTGAGTTTTGTTTTCGAGCCACCATACTTTGGAGCACCATGACCTAATAATAAACGTCGATAGAATCAACCAAAATTATCGATCAAATTAATAAATCATTTCGTATAACTAACCAGGTCGTCCCCAAAATGTGTCTATCGTTGCGAAATGTCTTCGGGCTGATTCCAGTTCACTATCCTTTGTTATCTTTGAAATCATAAAAAAGGCCATAAATATTTCAATTGAACATGAAATTTAGTGTAATAAATGGTTGTTACTTGTTTTTTTCGTTCCTTTTGCGTTATTTGTCGGCATAAATCATCAAGCAGTTGAATTCCTTCGCCATAATCCTGCCATCTAAAACCAAAAACGAAACAAGTAGTTTTTTTTATAGAACACATGATGCGTCAAAAAATTTGTTATTCAATGTTTGATGCGAACTTTTTTTCCGTGGGATATTTCGTGACATCAGTTGTGGACAATGAAATTGGACGTTGCATTGCACGACGACGTGCAAGTAATGGAACCAATTCAACGCCACCAGTTATCATGCATGTTCGTGGTTTAACGTATTTACATTTCTTTGCACACCGATTTGTATGCTCGCACAAACGGTTTGTATTTTCCACATTACTATCTTTTCGGGTCATCGGATTTTCCATATTTTCTTTGCCATTGCTATCGATTTGTGGTGTCGTGTATTTTGTTTTACAATCACAAAAACAATTTATACAACATTTTGCCGGCAATTTTAACGGATTCACATCACTGACATTCGTTGATTCGTTGATATACGTCTTTGAATCACATTCATTGGGTTTTTTATCGGGATCTAATGTTTGCAAAAGAGTTTTATCCGTCCATCCCATTGATTTCATAAATGAATGACCAACTTGACGTGGATTACGCCATGGTGCACCACCTGGAAAATAAACGGTATATTCAAAACACTCGTGATCAAATGAAATGGATTTATCACACCTACCTGGACCCGATTTACCCCATACATCCAATGAATGTTTTGCATCGCGTCTCATTCGCTCTGCTCGACATCGATCCAAATCCATTTTATATTGTTTTTTCGATTCGTTACTTGTTTTGTACCTTAGATGATTTTCAACATGTTTTCGTGCCGAGTCACTGAATTGAATTGTTGGATCCTCACGAAATTTCGTTATTATTTGACCGTTTGAATTACGAAGCGGGGCACCGCCACCACCTCGTCGAGCACGAAACGGCGCTTGGAACACAAATTTTCGACAATTCTGATAACAAATTGAAAAAAAAAAAAAATGAGAAAATTTACTTTGGCTTTTTTTTTCTAACAAAAATCGTTCAACATTTCAATTTAGATAAAATTAAAATCTTGATTAAAAATAACTTAAAGTTGATCATTTCAATGGAATGTCATCGGTTAATTTACTTTACTCTTTTTATCGTTGTTTTACTTTTCTACGCAACGATATGAAAGTTGTTTACTTATTGATTTTCGGTTTAAATGTGTGCCATTGGTATGTTCATATCCATTTGATAATTAAGTGAAACAAAAAAAAAAAAACAGTTTACCTCAATTGATTCGGGAAATAGACCACAAGATTGAATTTTATTTCGACGTATTTTTTCGTTTGGAGCGCCGCCGCCTTGATACACGGTCAAATGGCAAACACCAATGAAAAAGTAAAGAAATTTGTAATTTTTATTGACATAATACACTTGGGCTAAATTTCCATTTTTACATGGAAACCTTATATTAATAACTAACCCGGCCTTCCCCAAGGATAATTTCTTTCTATGAGTTCGCGTAGCTGCAAACACATTCACAAAATAACAGACAAATACCAAATAGATACAGAAAAAAATGTTGTAATCAAAATATAGAGAAAAAAAAAACTTTTCAAAGTCGTTTATATTTCGTTCGATTGACGAACTTTTGTTTCCCTTTTTTTATTTCAAATGCATTTGAAAACTTTACAAAATCATCGAGTTTAATGTAAGCACATAGCATAGCAACAGCAGGTCGATTTGAAAGCAAAGAGCAATGAACAAAAACCAAATAATTGTACGACAAATTTAAAACAGCGCCTATTAGCACGCAACATGAGTTTTTTTTTATTATTATTATAATAATGTGGTAGCAAAAATAAGCTTTGCGTTCTATCGAAAATCTAATGTATTTACTTATACATAGCAAAATATAAAAATTCGATTCACTTTGTCTAATTTTCCAATTTATATTTTCCGTTTGTTGCAATCAACAATTTGAGCACTCATCGAGGTTTTTACAAAAATAGCTCGATGGTTTCGGTGCTTGAATGTTCAAATAAATGGAGAATAAAAAATGAATTGATTTCTTGTTTAAATACCGTTGTTATGATACGAACAATAGCAACAACTGAAAAAAAACTAAATTTACGGGGTGAATAAATGAGAATGAACATATAAAAAAAACGAATTAAATATGTTGAATGACAATACAGAGATATATTGCTTTGTGAGGTTGAATTAGTTGAAAAATGTGAGACATCCCGTGTAATTGTACAAATGTAACCGTTACATTCATTATATTGAGAATAATTACTTTTTTTTTGTACAAACAAATCGAATTTCTCTTGATCTTCATCATTAAAAGGCGGAAGAACGTTTACTCAATGCCGGTTAAATGACATGTCACACGAGTGTTACACATTTTACATACACAATTAAATCATGTAATTTACACATACGCATAAAAAAATATGCAATTAATGAACATGAATAGCTACCATTAATGGATCGTCATTGCATTATTAAGTTGTTTGACATGAACATGAACCAAATAAATAATATGAGTCTTGTTTGTTTTTGTTGGCATGCGATTGAATGGACAACAAAAAATGAAGAATGATTTGAAATTGTTTCAAGCGGTTTATTATCTGCGATTTTTTTTGTTTTTATTTTGTCAATTTCCAGAAGGGCTCACTTCATTACAATCGCGTATTTTTTGAGCTTCTTTGAATTCTTTGCGTTGCTGAACCACTTGAATGCTCTCGTTTGCGATACGTTTTTCTTCGGCTCTTCGTTTTGCTGCACACCATAGTAACGGGTGATCGTACTGGTCATGACATAATTGTGCCATAACCCTTTTTTTACATCATAGATTTTATCAGTTTGACGATAAACCAAGCAACAACCTTCGAAAGCTCAAAACTACACCCACAAAGAAAACACACACACATCGAATTAATTGCCCACACTAAACACCAAAAAAAAAATTGATGTCGATTGATGTATTTTAATATTATAAGATGCTAATTCCTAATCAGTTTACACTTGATGGCTAAAACTTCCGTTCGAAGTGCTTTGTTCTACTCAACTGACGGCATGTGGTATCAAAATTCCGACATAAGAACACAGCGTACCTGGTACCACAGTTTCTTATAGGCATTGCATTATGTAAACAACAAACAAACGTGAGACCACATGTACGAGAGAAAGAGAAAGGCAGCATTTGGGTACATAAAAGAAACATTGTATTTACTTGTTATAAAGAAGAAGCGATGTGTCCAAAATATACATTTGAATACAATTTCAATGCTGTTGTGGTTGTTCTGCTTCCATTGCAAAATTGTAACTCGGTGATGGAATGCAGCCATCAAATTTTGAAATGAGTTGGCGTGATTCATTCACTCATTTCATTTTTAATCGGATTCCATTGAAAATATAGGCGAAATTCGATTTTGCAGCCCTTATTTACGACGTTGGTTATCTCATTCCGAATAATAATAATAAAAAATAAACAAACAGATAAACTACATTCAAAAACTTCAAATAACACGCCGTTTCATTCAACGTAATACAGAAAATGTGGCCGATGATTTGATGTTTCATTTTGTGTTTTGAAATTAAAATATGAATTCTGATTGATTTCATGCATGTTCATCAATATTAAGTGGAATTTTGTTTGTTCGAAGCATATTTTGTTTAGATTGTATTGATTTTGCGGGCCGATATTTTCAATGAACTCTTTCCACATGCGAATGAAAACATCCACAACATTTGAATGTACACACAAATTTTTAGTCAGTCAGCAAGTTTAGAAACACAATTTAACCATGTGCACAATTTGTTAGATCGAACATAAGTAATTAACAGATAAAAAGTCGTCCGATTAAAATCAACACCGATAAAATGAAACAGTGTTTTAGAAAATTGAGTACTTCTTTTTTTCGCGTATAAATTGAACGCACAAAAAGAACGCAAAATCATCGACGTCAGCACCATCTATACAAAAGAAATGAATCCACTATAACGAAAGACGTCACTCACGTGCATCTGTATCATTCTGATTCACATTGGTGTTAGTGTAAAAGAATGTGAATGTGTAATCCATTTCTAAATAATGCACATCATAAGAGAAAGAAAGAAGTGTCAACAGAGTTTTTAAAAGTATTGTTTCATTCAAACAAAAATTTGTGATAATTCTATTGGTATTATTATTTTTGTTCTGTTTTTGTTTTTATCCATCTCAAATTAAGGTAGACACACATAGATATAATTGTTTTGTTTGAAATTTGTGTCATCGATAACATTTAGACACTTAGAAAACGGTAACTAATTGATTGCATTGTAATTAAATATTCTTGCGAGAGAAAAAAAAAACATTTAGTTGTCATGGCCGTACTTTGACTTTGGATAAAATTTTAATCAAAATTCAAATCGTTTATTGTCTTACACAGATAGTTGCGGTTGATTTGATTTATCTGGTTGAAAACTATTATCATACAGACAATACGATATGGATTCAAATAAAAGTGACACAATTCAAACAAAAGAGCAGCTTGCATCGCATTATGCGTTGCATGTTGCATTACAAACGATGAAAGAACGATGTATGGCTCTCCAGCAACGGCTCACCATTGTTGAATCGGAAAATTTGGCATTACGAAAAAGATACGGACAAGATCAACCAAATCATAGTCAAAATACAGACGATCGCACCGAAATTGAAGTGCTACGAGAACAAGTCGGTGAATTGACGCGTCAAAAATTTCAATTAACCGAACACATTGGCATGGTTGCATTGGAAAATCGTCAATTATGGTTGCGTCTATCAAAATTGACCAAAGATAATCAGACGCTTGGCAATTCATTGAATAAAATAAAAACGACATTATCCGAAGGAGCGACCGGACATCAGAATTTAATTCGATCGAAAACATTTACGCAAAACTCACCGAATCCAATTCTACGGCAAAAGTTAATGCAAGATGGTAATGCACATGATAATGGCAAAGAAATGGATGACGTCAGTTTGGAAGAGATTTCACTAAAAGACTATGCCGATCAACCGAATCTAAATATACATGGTGGCAGTGCGAGCAGTCGCGATTCAGCTATACCATCACAATCAACATCTGAACTATCGACACGAATCGTTACCGCCAATTCAATGGGTTTTGGCTATTTGAATGATGAAAGTATTAACACCATTTTGAGCAATGATACGAAAAAATGTATGGAAAATATGCTGGAAATTAAGAAGGAGCTATTGCGACAACAAAGTGATTTAAAAGTTGCATTGAGCGGACTTCGGCAAAGAAGAGGTAATACAATATATTTTTGTATTTTTGTTCAAATTTCTCTTTAATTATTCCAAATTGAAAACTCACATTCTTCATTCATTTGATCCGTCGTTTCAGTGTTGGAGCTGTGTTTAAATTGTAAAAATCAATCAACGAAAAAAGCAAATATGGCCGACAAAAATTTCGGCACCGATGAAATAGCGCCGGAATTCAATAAAGAACATATCGACGAACCGCTCACGTATCGTCGCCGTCAATCATCCGAAAATGATGCAGAAATTACGGAAATTATTGGTGACAATGCTGCATTTATACCAATTAAACCCGATCAAAGCAATGCCATCGACATTACGCAACAGAAGAAGATGGCCGATTGTGTGGATAAAATGTGCCCGATGTGCGGACTAGTTTATTCAAATGTAGCATCGTTTGAAGTATTCCAAGATCATGTTGAATCCCATTTCATTGATGATACCGATTTAGATTTAAGTGTTGAAAGGAATTTTGAATTTGTTTCGAATACGGTCGGACAATTTTGACGGCAACTATAAAATCTTCATCGTCTCTCAACTATTTTTTTTCTTCAATTGTGATTTTCATCATATATATATATTTTTACGTAAAAAAATCTTATTTATGGGGTCGGTTTCCTAGTAAATTAAAACGTACTGGTTCCATTTAGTTGTTAATCAAACGATATTCTTTTACACAGAATTGAAAACGAATTCTTATGAAAAAATAGAAAATTAAAAAAAATAAAAATGAAATATTATTCCTACAGTTCTATTTTCAGCCAAAATTATTCATTTCGATGTAATGAAGCAGTTGAAATTAGGCTCGTAAACTATTATAGTGTGTAATAAGTATTTATAATTATGTAGACAGCAACAAGAGTAAAAACCAATTAATTACAATGAAATTTTTCGTTGTTTTCTTTTTTGACTTCGTCCAACATTTTATTGTTCCATTTGCTTTATGTCTACATATTTTATTTCAAATTAAACTAATGTGGCGCCCAATGTGTAATTTGGGTGCGATTGGTTTAACCTAAGTTGGTCGGTTTAACTTCTGTTGTTTTGGCTGCCGGTTGTGTTGTTTTTTGCAGTAAATTCTTACTAAACCATGTGGGTCGTGGTTTTTCCATTTCAATAACACGTTTTCCTTCCCAAAATTCCGCTGGCTACCGAAAAAAAAGATTCCAAGAAAATGTCACAATCATTTGAAACTGATTAGCAATAAATTGCTTTCCATTTAAAGTGTGAATCGAAAGGTACCTTATCCTTTTCACCATCGTACAATACAACGACTTCTTGCTCAACTGGATTCAATCCAAGTTTCTCCTCAATTTTCGTTTGCATTTCTTTTGTTTCATCCATTACACGTTGATAGCAGTTAGCTGGAATGTAACAACAACAACAATTGTAAAAAAAATTTAATTGCACACATATTTGTGCGTACGATAACTGGTTTTTTTTTTCGTGTGTGCCTTCAGTGATTTTCGGACGAATAACACTTACGACATAAAACACCAACTTCATGATCATGACCGCATTGTACGCATATGCGTAATGTTGTTTTTGGATTAATCATGTATCTTGAACCATATAAATGATGACCGTATCGGGCCTTCATTCGTTTTTCGATTGTTTTCCGATGTTTTGGAACGGCCCATAAAATTCCATCGCCGATTAAATCCTTCAATGAAAATGAACTCGTTGCTGATGATTCTTTTAATGTGGTTGGTGTGTAACCGGGGCACGCAATTGCATACATGGGTTCTATGGAATATAAAAGAACATTTCGTCATTTGGAATCCAAATAAAATCGACATTTTCCGCAAATTTCACATCGCATCGTACATAACATTGAGGTTATGTTAACATTTCGAACAATAGCTCAACAAATATCCGATGAAATAACACATATGAAATGGAATGTTTATTACCTGGTGGAAAACCTCTGCCAAAAATTTGCGGTAATGCATTTTCAATTCGTTGAATGAAACGATTAATTTTCAATAAAAGTGCTAACGACATTATTCCACATACAATTTGCGCACTGTGTAAACTATGTATGCCCAAATGTCGTTTGGGTTATGTATGTTTACGTCAAATTAATATCACCATTCACTTGTTTCTAAGTGTGTGTGTGTGTGTGCGTGTGTTCAAATGGAAACCTCAAAATTTTGGCCGAGTAATTAAAATCTCTTTCATTTGCTGCCTAATAGTGTCGATTATTTTGTTTTTTGTCGAAAAAATTTCCTAGAAATGTAAATGGTTGTAAAACAAGTTTCACAATAAGTATGTGGTGCCGTACATCAGACAGGTATTATTGATATCGTCGGCCCATGTAGGTTTTCGTTAATATTGACAGCGTGATCATATGGGCGTGAGCGTGACAGGGTTCGAAATTCCGTTGTGTGTATTGTTTTTCTTCATTTGACAGTGACATTTAATCAGTTGGCGAGCACATGACAATACATCGATGAATAGATTTAAGTAAGAAAAAAAATAATAAGTAAGCAAGATGAAAAATAGTGGGAAAGAGAGAATGCAACCAAAAAGAAGTAGTGGTGTAGTTCCTCATATACGAAATATTAACAAAAAATAAAATAAAATAAAATAAACGAAGAAGAGAAGAGGAGAGAAACGAAGAAGAAAAAAAAATTGTGTATATTTTTTGGTCGGTAACGGACGCTTATTTTTCCGTGCACACACCGTTCCTCCGTGTGTGCATTTTTCTCGTTTTCGCTGAAAGCTCTCTGTTGCCCGCTGCTCAGAGGTTTTGCCACTGATATTGTGGACGAGTTGGTAGTAGGGAAAAGAAGTGTTTAATGGTAGGGTCAGAAACGGTGGTGTTTTTGGTCTTGTCACTTCGGAGTGCTCCTCAGTGTGTCTAGTAAATTGTTATCGTCAGAACGGATCACAACAGTTTTTTTTTGTACTATGGCGTGTATAAGTTTGAATCGGGTATGTGCCCGTGTGGTGCAAGATAAATTATATCAGTTACTTGTTAACAAAAATCAAAATACAATTTATCGACAAACTCGGAATTTCAATAACGCTACTATCAATCTTACGAAACGGAACCAATTCGGATTCAATTCTATCGGAAGAAATTTAGCTGGCTCGCTACAGGTAAATATCCACACACACCAAACAGAAAAAAAAAATTAAAAAATTATAATATAAAGAATCTCCTCCAAAAGCAATGAAAATAACACAAAAGTACCGAAAAAAAATCAAATCCGATGAAGAAATTTTTTCCATATCAAAAAATTTCACATTCGAATTGATTAAGCGAATCAAAATCGATTAAAGCTCTTGGATACAATTGAGATTCATTTGTTTATCAGTAATAAGCAATTATACCGAATTTGAGGTGGTTAAGTACAATCAATCATTTGAAATACACATGAACGTTTGTTCTTGCTTTGTTTTTTTTTCTTTGCAAAATTCTCATGATATCATTAATGCTAACAAGTGAGATTACATAATTAAAATACGAATTTCAAATCGAGTTGTGAACACATGAAGGATTACTGAATAAATATGATATTTGTTTCCACAAATTATCTTACTATTATTTGGGGCGACAGTCCAAATGATAATATATATATAAAAAAAATGCGCAAAGTCGAAAATGATGAAAACGAAATTCGAAAAACAATAGAAATGGAGAAATTCTAGAACATCGATTACACAAGTGAATTAATATAAAATGTATGTCAAACAATTGGTGTAAATAAAATGAATTGAACGACGAACGGAAATGAAGACGAAAAAAAATCTGTTGAGTTTTTTTTTTCGATGAGAGAACATTTTTTTTGCCGAATGAAAACCGAATAAAAAATAATATAAAAGTGTTTGTTGTTATGTATGTATATTTTTTGTTTTGCGACCAATAAAAAAAATCTCTTTTGCGACTTGAAATTCGGACAATGTGTGATTGAATGATACATTTCGAGTGGTTTATTTTTTTTATTCGAAAGTTGTAAACAGCGCATAAATGTTTGTGAAATAAATTCGTTCACTATATATTACAGCTCAATATTGTTATGTATATTATTCTGAATGATCTAATATGTGCTGACCGACCGAAATGTTACGCAAAGCAAGATTTGACAGAGAAATGAAAAGAGATAGATAGTGAAAATGAAAGCTCCGCACCAGATTTGACACTGTCTCTTAACCTCAATCGTTGCTTTTATTTACAATTTTTTTTTTTCGTATTTGCTGATAAGAATTTCACGCGACGAGAAAGTGTCAAACTGCAGTCAAACTGCACGAACATGCCTGTACACACCAGCGACAACAACAAATACATACAGGACAACAACAGCGAAACAAACAGGGTTGAACAAAATCCGCATTGGAACCGTTATATTTTCCAATTGCAATAACAGACCAAAGAAACCGAACGAATTAAAAAAAAAGAATCCATTAAACAAAACTCAATGTAACGGGTTTAATGAAGAAAAACATGCCCGCAAATAAAAAAATAATCAATTGTGCGCGTGATTCATAATTAAACGAAGTAGAAATCGAAAATCAGACAATCGCATTTGTTCGTTGGTCATCAACAGGCAAAAATACCACACACACATACACATAAACTGAACATATTACAATAATTATCGAATCCATTGCGTGTATGCATTTAATAACATACCATTTTCGATATCAACAAGTTGCCAAGTTCGCATTGACGTTTCCGCACTCCAATCTGTCTCGATTAGAATGAACAGAGAAGTAAAACGGTTTCATGTGTAAATCATTGTTGTTGTTGTTATTTTTTTCTCTTTATCTCCTGTACTCATATAAGGATTAGAAGATTTTGATGAGTGCACCCAACATGATTTAAACGAAGTAATTTTAAATAACGCCAGTTTAATAACAATTAATGTGCGATTAGAAAAGTGTACACGTTTCAAACTATTTGGCAAAAAATATTATTCGAGCAATGCACTTGCTATATGAATTTTTTTAATGGATTTAGATCATTGTAAGGAGTCTGTTCGCACACACACACACATATATTACCGTTGATCAATTGATTTTTTAAAAATTTATTCCGCACCTGAAAAGCGACTCTGTGCGATCTCAACTTTAAGAAGAAGAAAAAAATTAAGCGAAAAAAAATAAATAAATGTATATAGTGTAGATGGAATATAGCAACAAAAATACATTGAAGCAAATGTACTAAATAGAGATAAATGTGCACGTATATGATGATTTGAAAGCGGATTCTGTACATGTGTTGTGGCGCGTTCATTCACTATACAAAACACAGCTTCTCTCTGCTTTTGCTGCTATTGCCTTTATTGTTTTTGTTGTACGTAATGCAATGCGTTGTGTGTGCTTTTTTTTCTTTCAATCTTTCATAATTTTTTTTTTTTGTATTTCATTTCTTATTTACAGTTTGAGTTTTTTTTTCTTCTTCTTCTTTTTCTGTTTCACTCTCTTTTTGGCATATCGATGGTATTCCGACCCATTCCTCATATATGCACGATGGCCGTCGTCGTCGTTGTTGTTGTCGGTTCAGCATATATGCTTGTATATGTGTACGATACATTTGATCTGAATGTGGTTGTGATGTTGTCGATGATGCTTATTGAATCTTTAATCTTGAAAAATTCAACTTTCGAATTTATTTAATTGCTGAAATCACAAAATGTTTCAGCAGGAAAAACAAAAGTATAACTACATACGAAGAAAAGTTGAAGAAAAAAAAACACACACACATAAAAAATTGATCGAAGATGATGAACGAAAGAACGAATGAACAAAAATAAAAAAAGCCGAGCATAAATAAAAATATTTTCAAAATGTATGAATCGATTGGTATTTACGAATTTCGAATTTCATAAGATACGCGCTCATATCAGGTAGGAAACGAAATACGTTAAAAACAATGATTTGAATTATGGCTCGTTGCGTTCTCTCAGTCGCGCTCACGCGCACACAAACACACACAATAAAGAAAATGCCGACATGAGATTTATAAATGTTTATCATAATCTCGGCATTTGAATGCCATTGCATTTGGCCGAGCAAATTTTGATGTGTATACGCTATATGTGAAGTAATAAGTGTTAAAAAAAAACTGATATGGACAAATATATGGATGGAGCCGACACCATTCACACACTCGGTAATCTTTCTAATGCTCAATTTGTTGAAATACAAATGTTCATTTCAAAATTGGACAAATCTCGCAAACCCTTGCTAATTGATACAATTTAAAAGAAGACCATTTTCAACAAGGACATTTTTATATGCCTACATATTTCTTAACACCTAATATTTACCATTTTTTTTGCGTTTACCTTTTTAATGCTAATAAAACAGATACACTTATCCCACAGTGGCATGACCACGAACATTGAAAACGATAACGATTTAATAGGTGTTCATTACGCATGCATGTGTCACCACAGTCACACAATGGCCATCATCGTAAAGAAGGTGCGCTGCAAATACGATTGACTGTGAATATTGTTATTCGGCCAAAGCAACGATTTGATAATATCTTCTATTTGCACTCAATTGTTGTTTAATTTCATATCGTATCTTTTGCTCTCCTGCTCGCTCTGTAAACGCACAATTTGTTGTTGTTGTTGTTTTGTGTTTCTTCATAAATATGCCACATCCAGCAAACAAAACTGTATATAAATATGTTCAAGACATTATTTTCGCCGACACACAAAAAAAAGTGGCACATACATTCTGCGTTCCGTTCATTCCATAATTTATTGATTAAGCGTGAGCATTTTTGAGAGCTGAACAATTTTAAATATGAAGTATAATGTCGGTTGGATGTCGAGCCACCAAAGCACAACACCGCATATATATACATGATCACAAACACACACCACACACACATATATATGGGAGCGCGCGTGTGCGCCTAAGCCTGTCCGCCTGAATGGGAAAGAAAAATCACCAAAAGATCACTTGTGTATTAACAAATAAAAGATTTACTACTTTCACTGATAATTTAAATATTAAACAGATATCTTTTTTCCCGCTTTTTGCTCTTTCTCTTTCGATCTCCGCGTGTGAGTTATGTACACCGCAGAATATATGCGTATATACATCGACATCTATCTAATGTATATATGAATATTTTTTGTAACGCCACACGAGGTGTGACAGACAAGGTGCACAGAAATGTGGAATTATGGAAATGCAAGCATGTATGGGTGTATGTGTGCGTGTGTGTGTGTGTAAATAGAGTCGTTTGTTTTGATTTTTCTTTTATTTTGTATCGATCGATGTTTTTATTGTTGGTGATGCTGGTGCAGTTGTGTCGTTGCCAATGCTGTTTATTCGAATTGATAGTAGTAAAATAATGATAGCGATAGTGATAGTGAATGTATATGTTATTGCTTCAGTCATAGTAAATAAATATATATGTATCCAAAGCGATCCAAAGCGTTCGATGGTACTATGCACAGCCGATGAATATATAGCCGTTTGCGTTAGGTGCTTCGTGGTTTATTTATTCATTTGCTATGATAACAAGCGAATAGATAGAGCGAACAGAAAGAAAAAGAGAAAAAGATTTTTTAGAGAAAAAGAAGAAGAAAAAAGTTCCATCAATTCAATTCACACGAAATGAAAACGTGAATTTAAACATTATATCAATGATCGATGAAAATATCGAAATGATGTGTGTTTCCAAGGAGACATTTTTTTTTTAGAAATCCACCTTTTCCATTTAAATATATTGAAATAAAAAACCCATTCAAAAAAAAAATGAAGCTCGAAACAAAATCAATTCAGTTGATTCATAATATGTATATGACCAGTGATCAATATTCATGAGCCAAATGATGAAACATGGACACAAAATGCTCATCTATTTATCGCTTACCAAACTTATGCTTTTCGATATTTTCTTTCTCTTTTCGGTATTGCGCATTGATTTCTCGAATCCAACTTTTCCCGATGACTTCTCGATTTCCAAAGCAATGGTTCAAATGTTTCCTTCTTTCTCTCTTTCTCTGTCTCTCTTTCTATACTTTCTGTATGTTATAAACACAATTTCTTCGATCGGACTCAATAATTTTTCGGTTAACAATCGATTTAATTTTACAAACAAACATCACTTCGGGTCATATTCGCAATTGACC